TCCATGAATTTCGTGTCGGTTGGGTGCCGTTGGTGTAAGCCCATATATATCTACCCCAAGAAAGACCTGGAGATTTTTAAATAGTCATTGGGTGTGTAACGCCAATGGCGGAGGCTTGAAAAGCCCGATTTTATACTCATGGCATTGCATGAGAAAAAAAGAGTCGGGGAAGGCTTGAGTTAAAGGGCATGAGTGAGTCTTATCTCATTTCATGACATGACGTGATAGAATTCCAATATTGAATTACATATTCTTGTTTGGAATGGTTGTGGCTTGTTAAATGTTGCATGTGAGCATTACATATGCACTTAGATTGGGGAGTAGTTTCTGTAGGAAATACTCTATTGAGCATGACTCACTCTTTATGGGAAAAATATTTCAGGTGCGGGTGGTACGTTGGCGGAAGACTCTCACTTGGGGCCTCAAGTATGAAGAAAGCCGGAATGTGGCTCTATTTTGAGTTTTAGTACAAGTATTATGAAAAATTAGTTTTGATATGTAAATTTATGAAAATGAATGTAATAGAATGTGTATGGACCTTGTATTAAATGAAAATCTTCATTATACATGTGTTGGATGGATGTAATGTGGTTTGAAATGAATTAAAAATAAAAAACATGTGAAATTGGCAAAAGTCGGTAAAGCATACCGGTAGGGCGTACCGGTATGGCGAGCTCTAGTGGGCAACTCATACCGATAAGGTGTACCGGTATGGCGAGGTCCAGTGGGCAACTCATACTGGTAGAGCGTATCAGTATGACGAGGTTTAGTGAGCAACTCATACCGGTACACCTTCTAAAAACCTGAAATTTAAAAATTGTTTTGCCATGCTTTTGGACTATTGGTTCTTTGATGTCAAGGATATAAATAGACTATAATGGAGTATGAAATGTGGTACATTGGACCAGAATCTGATTAAATGATAAAATGTACATATGTTACATGTGTTTTGCCATGCTTTTAGACTATGGGTTCTTTTATCTCAAAGATATAAATGGCCTATAATAGAGTATGAAATGTTGTACATTGGACCACGATCTGATTAAATGATAAAATGTACATGGGTTACACTTGTGGGTTACAATCCCGATTAAGGGGATGCTATTGACATAAGGTCGGGTTGTGCGACAATCACGAATATTTTTGCGAGTTGACGGGTGGTTAACAGTTAAAAAAGGACCCCCAATTTTAGGGGCGTTGTATTAAAGTATTGAGTGTGTATTAAAGTATTGTCCATATATATTCATTGGCTATATGCGTGTGCGCGTGTAGAGAGAGAGAGTGAGTGAAAAAGAGAAGACCCAGTAGCATCTGTTTATTCTATTACTAATTGTGACTCTAAGTGTGTCTGCATGGAGAGAGAGAGGAGAAGAAGAAGAATTGAAGAAGATAGAGAAGAGGGGTCTCTTGTTCGAGATCTGGACCATCTGGTGTTCGAGATCTAGATCTGTGATGTCAAGCTGCTGTTCGAGAGCTCGGAGTGGAGAAGACGAAGAAGAGGAGGTTTGGTGTTCAAGATCTAATTTGTGGTGTCTTGTGCCGCTGTTCAAGTGTTGGAGAAGACAAAGAAGATGAATGTTGGTTTTGAACTAGCCAGTTTTTTAATCTTCGATTCACCGGTTTTTGGCTTAAACCGGCCAGTTCTCCAACGGTTCGATTATCCAAACGGTCTTTTTACTAAATCGGATCGTTGAAGTTCACTAGTCCGACCTCCCGATTTGGTCGGTTCTGATAACACTGATTTCGAGTAAACTTTTATGGGTTTGTATTTTGTTCCATGAGAAGAATAACAGTGTATTCATTCGCTCAAATTGAGTAAAAAATGAAAGAAACTAAGCTCTAAATTGACCGATTTAGATTGAAAAAATAAAAGTTGTGCAATATGAGATTTGACACCAATTTCATATTAATTGAGAAAAAAATTATACTTGCATATATATATGTCAAGTTTGTTCTATTGGTTGGGCCCAAATGGTGTCACACTTTTATGAGTGGAATGATTGTGTACATGTCATCAGTTCGACAACATATGTGCACATTGTTCGCCTGTTCGATCGCCACGACTTGACCTGACACAAACTAGCTTGGGGTGTGGTTTAAACTCATTCTTATCTTTTTTGGAGAAAATTTGTTTAAAGAATTGGACTTTAATTTTTCAATTCGAAATTTAATTTTTGGTATGCATTTGGTTCGTATTTTTGCTTCTGTTTAATTCCGAATTTTTGAGTCTGTGAATGTTCATGGATGAATAGTTATTCAATAGTGTCTTCTGGGTTGCATGTCTTTTGGATTGCGTCTGTTCGCATGATGGATGTCCGAAATAGTCATTGGTCTGTCTATATAAATCCAGAGTCATTAGCATTCTGCATCAACTTCATTACAGTTATTAAGGCATATGTTCAGTATTAGGCAGTTTGTATATCAAAGTACACAACACAATTTTTTGTTCACAGGTCAATTAAATTGGAGTACTACTTTTAATTGCGTGAAGATCGTTATATTTTGGGTGATAGACACTTTGTTTTTTATAATCACCAAGTGCGGGGGGCGAAATCTATCTTGAAGATATAGTATCAAACACTAGTCTTGATTTACGAAAAGTTTAACAACAATTTTTTATCTACAAATAAATCAGTTTATATATTAGTTTAATTACAAATTTATGTGCTACTGTTTTATTTTTACTTATAACTATTTTGTTCTTAACCGTTACTGTTTTATGTTATATTACATGATACAAATAAAACAAATATCAATAAATAATTTTGTTATATTCGAGAAATCACAAACAACAGTATAACGTGTCACTTTAAAAATTAATGACGTGACACTCTACACATAAATTCTTCGTCCCTTAGATAAGATCTGGTGGCATAGTTAGTCTTCTGTCCCTTCCTCCACTATAGCATGAGTTGTTTCAGGTAAACCAATCTCATTTGATAATGGTTGAAAAGTCCTGACTGATCTGGCTACTTGTGTAGATCAGTCACTCTATGGAAAGACAGTAGGTTCTTGTCTCCACACAAGCTTCTAAATTGGAAAGACACTGAGGCTTGCACCATTGTACATATAAAATTGCCACTGCAACCTGACGCTGACCTGACTATGCAGACTAAATAAAATTAGATTTATCTACGGTGTACCGACAAAAGATATTTTTATCATAGCTCTACGATTTATTATTTTAATACATATTTTTATGAGTTATTTTATAATTAAAAAAATTATTATTTTTATGAGTGATTTATCACATTTATGAATATTTTTTATATATTTGTAGATATTTTTATTGTTGTTATAGTAACTATTTTGATCACATTTTTAGTATTACAACAATAATAAAAACAGCAACAATAGTAATAAAAATATTTATAAATATAATAAATTAAAGTATTGCACTAAATTTTTTTTTTTTGTTACCATAGACAACTCCAACAAAGTTTCGGAAAAATTCCCTTTTGTTTTGAAGGTTGAAATTTTAATGAACTGAAGGCAAACTCCAAATAAGATAGAAACGACTTAGTTGATCAGGCACGAGTTCGAGTAGAAGCAAACTTCAAGTATACGAACGATGCTCTCAATTCATATATTAATTAAATTTAAATAAAATTATATAATTAAATAAATAAATTAAATTTTAAGTCTACACAGCCTTACTCAATTGAAAAGGCTGAAATTTCTGGGATTTCCTGTACATACGTCATAGGTTTTGACAACTTTCTACTCCTCTCTTGTCGTATGTAACGTGGCTTCTAATCCCTCTACCTGTGTACTTTTATCACTTAACAAGGAAACAACGGATGAAACATTATTTATTTATTTATTTATTTTTTTCAGATTATGGAACGCTATTAGGACTACAAACAAATCAAACGACTATGGTGGAGATTCTAGAATTAAACAAACCCAAAATTTTCTTAAATCTCTAGAAATACCCAAAACTTCTTCCAAGGTCTACTCAATCGATCCATATACAAACATTAATCAAATGGTTCCACAGTAGAACAACGTATCAGCCATGGTAGATCTTGACCTCTCAACTTCATTCCTCTTCTGCCTTCTTCCATTACTGTTCTTCTTCTTCATCAACTGTAACTCCATTTTCAAAAGTTTCTTCTCATCCCAGTACTCCACTAGTCTCCCCAAATCATACCCTTTTATCGGATCATATTTCGCAATCTTGGCGAACAAAGACCGGCGAATCCAATGGACCACAGACGTACTTACAAGCACACCCACTTCCACCTTCGTCCTCCACAAAACTTTTGGTAAGCGCCAAGTCTTCACTGCAAACCCCTCCAATGTCCAGCACATCCTCAAGACCCATTTCCATGTCTACAAGAAAGGCGAAAACTCTCGAAGAACTTTCAAGGACTTCCTCGGCGACGGTATCTTCAACGTCAACGACGATACCTGGAAGTTTCAGAGACAAGTCGCAAGCCATGAATTCAACACAAAGTCTCTTCGTAAATTTGTCGAGACTGTTGTCGATACTGAGATCTACGATCGCCTCATTCCCATCCTATCCCTCGCCGCTGCTAACAAAACTGTTCTTGATTTTCAAGACATACTCCAAAGATTTGCTTTCGACAACATATGCAGGATTGCTTTCGGGTACGATCCTGCTTACTTGTTACCATCTCTTCCCCAGTCGAAGTTTGCCGTTGCTTTTGATGAAGCGGCTCAGATCAGTAGTGAGAGAGTCAGATCACTTCTTCCTTTAATCTGGAAAATCAAACAGTTCTTCAACATGGGATCTGAAAAGAGGCTAAGAATTGCGGTAAACGAAGTCCGTGAATTTGCTAAAGAAATTATCAAAGAGAAGAAACAAAAACTCGAAGAAAAATCATCACTCGATTCGGTTGATCTTTTATCAAGATTCTTGAGTTCTGGTCACTCCGGTGAAACTTTTGTCACCGATATTGTCATAAGCTTTATATTGGCGGGCCGTGACAGTACATCGGCGGCTTTGACATGGTTTTTCTGGTTGCTTCACAACCACCCAGATGTCGAACATGAGATTCTTAGAGAGATCGGAGAGAAATCAGAAGCGCCAGTTTATGATGAAGTGAAAGACATGGTTTACACACATGCTTCACTCTGTGAAAGCATGAGACTGTACCCACCGGTCCCTCTGGATTCGAAAGAAGCTACGGAAGATGATGTTCTTCCAGATGGGACTGTTGTGAAGAAGGGTATGATTGTGACTTACCACCCTTATGCAATGGGGAGGGTGGAGAAGTTGTGGGGACCTGACTGGATTGAGTTCAGTCCCGAGAGGTGGTTGGACAGAGACACGGTCACCGGAAAGTGGAGTTTTGTGTCGAGGGATCCGTATATGTATCCAGTGTTTCAGGCTGGGCCAAGGATTTGTTTAGGGAAGGAGATGGCTTTTATGCAGATGAAGAGGGTGGTTGCTGGTGTATTGCGGCGGTATAGGGTGGTTCCGCTGGTGGAGGAAGGGGTTGAGCCGGTTTTCATGTCACACTTGACAGCGAAGATGAAAGGTGGTTTTCCTGTAGGGATTGTGGAAAGGGGGCAGAGGTTTTAATCCTTGGTTTTGATTGGTGTTTGCCTCTAAATTCTGTTTTTACTTAATCGATGGTGTTAATCCTATCATTAAATTGTGTATTTGTCAGTCTTATCATTAAATTGCGTATTTGTCAATCTTAGTATCTCATTATATTAAATATTTTTTTTTTCATTCATTTCTTTGATTACATCATTTAAAATTTACTTTTATCTATTATTTTTTTAAAATTATTAACAAAATTTTCTCAAAATATATAATTTGATAAAATTTTCACAACATATATATATATACTATCGTGTATAGATAATATTTGAAATAAAAATTATGTTAAATTATAAATTAATTAAATATTAAATAATTGATCATATGATAAAAATGAGTAATGTAATAATTTTGGAGAGGAAAATATATTGGATATAAAATTTCAACTTCTTTTATATTTTATTATATAGATTATGTATCTAAATATTCACATGTATCTATCTAATTCTTCGAATGATACAATATAAAGAGTAATTCAAGTGACAATAAAAATTAGTCATAAGTTAAAATATATCAAGTTTAAATTTTGACAACTTTTTGGGGGTGGGATAATTAAAAATTTATCTTTCATAAATACCCTAGTTTCAACGTGAATAGTCTATCTTTAATTAAATTAGAGAGGAGATTAATTGAAGTGCAAATCCAAACACCTTTCACTGTTGAGAAAAAATGTGGGAAATTTACTTGTACTTACCTTTAATGCTTTCTTGGGGTAGATATATGCCTTTGTTGACTTTAGATCGAATTTAGCTCATTTCTCATTTGAAATATAACTTGCAATGCACCACGTCTCTTTCACGTAGATAAATTAAATAATATTATTTTTATAAATAAATATAAATTATATGTATAATTAAATTAAAAAATAAATTATATATTGAATAATTAATCAATATTTTAGTTATTACTAAATTTAAAATTTTTGCGTACCTAATATGTCATTTTTCTAAATATCTCTTTGACCCTTTTAAGTATTTGCACATCTAATTATACTATAAAAATTATTAATTTTTATTTTATTAAATAAATTGATTAAATTACTTATAATATTATTATATTATTGTATACTAAAATATAAAATATAACATTTTTGACTGTAATTTAACTTATTAACTACATGTGTATAATATTTAACATATATAAGATTTTACGTCTTCATATAAATATATATAATTGTATGTAACTATACTACTAATAAATGAATTCAAAAAAATTTAAAAGTCTTAAAAAAGAGTCAAAAATCAGTTCAAATATGTATAAAAATAAAAATTGGATGGGTATAATTACCCTTATCATAATAATCAAGGATAAAATAGAAAATCAGATGCTAATAAAATTTAATATTTTTAATAAAAGAATTTAAAACCAATTGAAAGTCAAATAAGTATAAAAAATAAAAATTGAGTGAGTACAATTGGCCTTAAGTTAAATTTTAATAATTTATATATGATTAAATCAAATTGTCACTAAGTTTAAATATGCTCATAATGGATCAGACATAAACATATCCAAATTTAAATTTATGAAATACAAAAATGACAAATTTAAATTTGAATTTGAAATATTAATAAAAAGTAGTAGATTTTGTACTAATCGAATTCTTATTAGGAACAAAATCACTTTAATTGAAGTGCTTGAATGCCATTATGCTGCTTGCAAGTGTTGATTTTGTACTAATCGAATTCTTATTATGTCGTGCCAGTAAGTTAAAATATGTTTGTTTTTCTTGAGAAAATAGAGATGAAAAAATGATCGATGATTATTTTTAGTGATAACAGGTAGTGTACTGGTGTTCGATTGATATTTTTATGTTTTGTGAAGTGTGTGTATGTAAGTGGGTATCTCTCAAGTGTGATGGAATAATGGGCCCAGTCACAGATGTGGACTCAATCCGGACTCCAGATCAGATTAGACATGCGGGCCCAACCCAGATTAGAGATGTGGGCCAACAAGGGCCAAGCCCACCATCTTCATCCAGTCTATCATGGAAATATTCATCTTAGCAAAAGAATCATTGAGCGCAGTTATCGGGTACACATCACCAGCTTCAACCACCTCACCTATTATGCCAGCATCATAGATTCACTCCGCTCTCCATAACGAGGGTGACAACTCAATCAGGGCTCCCCATAATGACACCTTAATTAAGGCTTTCTCTAAGACACTATGAAGTTTGTACTCGCCTATAAATTGTAAACTCACATATACATGGAAGCATCACATATATCTAAGCACATCACACCTCGAGTAATAAAATTTTGCGGTCACCGTCGTCATTCCCAATCAAGTAGATCACCCAGACCAAACTATCTAATATGTGTCTCTTATTGTATTAAGCATCCCTATCACATACACCATCATACATACCATCACCAGAAGCCTGTTATTCACTTGCTCGAAATCAAGCAAGACTGGGATAAAAAGCCTAAGAATTTACCTTACTCATTTTAACGAGGAGGTTCTTCAGATTGAAGAACTAGACAATAAAGTCACTATAGCTACCTTCATAGGAGGCATGCGCTCATCCAGTTTTCTGTTCTCGATTTTCAAGCAATCACAAAGAACATACCATATTTACTATGAAAAGCCCAGAATGTACACAAATATCGAGGACAACACCAAAGTCAGATGAGGTGAGTCCTCACATGGAGGAAAGAAGAAAAAATAGCCCTGTGAATAAAGCTTTGAGCATTCAAAAAAAAAAAAAAATTGTCATACTTTTCATTTCACAAAAAGTTTGGAAACAAAAGCCAAAGAGAGAGAGAAAAAACATAAGGGGAAAAGGGAAAAATCTATGAAGCATCATCAACACTTTAGATACCTTCACTGCCATCGCCCTCCTCGCTGCTGCCTAACCCACTCTCATTAGAATCATTGTCATCATTATCATCACATACGCTCGACTTCTCATATGGGATAAGTCCCGCTGGGAAAAGCCAATGAAGCCTCTCCCCTAAACTCCTCGTAGCCATCAATAAAAACGTCAGTGGTATTATCCTGCAAGTCATGGACAACCTTCTTTGCAGGCTCCCTCATCCTCTCCATCAGCTGGGAGTGAGCTTCTGCTTTGGTAGCTCCCATGAGCTATTCGCAACTCCGGTAGCCTTCTCACGAGCTACCCGCAACCATACCTCAACTCTGGTAGCTTCCTCGTGAATTATCCACAACTTTGCCACAAGAAACCTCAGTCTCAACTTCTAGTTTAGCGGTTCTCTCGCGAGTTGCCAAAAACTCCGCCTACTATCCCTCTTCTTCACTCAAGCAAACCTTAGTCTCAGTTTCCAACTTAATGACTCTCTCCCATGTCGCCAAAAACTCGGCCTACTCTGCCTCTGTTCTCGCGCAACTGCTCAAGCAGTCTTAGTCTTAGCCTCCAATTTAGTGACTCTTTCACAAATGTCCAAAAGCTCGACCTCAGAAGGTGCAGCTCTCTCGCAAACCACCCTCAGTTTCTCCTCTACATCCCTAAGCATCTACTTCTCCCTTATAAGAGTCCTCGATACTTGTTCATGCTCGTTAGCCCTCACAAAAAGGCACGTACTGACCACAAAAAAAACAGAGACAATCCTAGCAATTTTAGCATATAACGGTATTGAAAATAGTGCTCACCTTGAAACTGTCGTCGACGACAATTACTTTGCCGCAATGCTTGCATGGTTATTGACGCTAGGTAACATTATTTCTGCCACCTCTAGGCACACCTTCAGAACTCTGGTCGTTTACGCCTCAATTTTGTCATCATTACCATCACCTCTGGAGCTCGCCGTCAGCGACCACGCGTAACCAGTGCTCGGCGTGCCCACAAGCCCAACACCCATGTCCTGCAGCACACCTAGCACACATGGCCCAGGCACCAACATCAGCCAGCGCGCCTCGCCGCTCTTTCCCACTGTATGCACACCTCATGTTACTAACGCCTTGCCTCCCTACTGCTAGTGCCTCATGTCGCTAGCACCTCGCCTCTTTGTTGCTAGCACCTTGCCTCTGGTCGTAACTTCACATCTCACTTAGATAAGCTTCTCAAGCAAACATTCAAAAGATGGGTAAAAAAATAGAAAGAAATTTTTTTTCTTATCGATGCCATCTTCCCCAAATCTCAATAGACTCTAGGCATGGTGGACAAATGATAGGTCCACCCCAGATCACAAATAATAGGCCCGTCCCAAACGAAGTTTAGATCACAAATGCGGGCTTGACCCAGACCAGACTTAAATCAAAGATGTAACCCCAACCCAAATCAGAGATGTTGGCCAATAAGGGTCAAGCCTACCGTCTTTGGAGACCTAATATATTAGTAGCACACATGGAAATCTCCATCTTAAGGAGGGAATCATGGAATGCAGTCATCGCAGTTCGCATTGCCAATTTCAACCACTTCGTCTGTTATGCCTGCATCATGGATTCACCCTGCTCCTCATTATGAGAATGACACCTTAATTAGGGTTTCCTATAACGACGCCTCAATCGAAGCACCCTCTAAAGCGCTATGAAATTGTACTCGTTTATAAATTATAAGTCTAACCTACATATGGGTGACATCACATACATCACACACCCCACCTTGAATAATAAAATTCTTTGGTCATCATTGCTATTTTCAGTGGAGTAAGTCATTCAGACCGAACCACTTAATTTGTATCTCTTGTTGTATTAAGCATATCCATTACATACACCATCATACATATCATCACACTCTTAATAGATTTTGCATAAACCCATTTTNTCATTACCATCACCTCTGGAGCTCGCCGTCAGCGACCACGCGTAACCAGTGCTCGGCGTGCCCACAAGCCCAACACCCATGTCCTGCAGCACACCTAGCACACATGGCCCAGGCACCAACATCAGCCAGCGCGCCTCGCCGCTCTTTCCCACTGTATGCACACCTCATGTTACTAACGCCTTGCCTCCCTACTGCTAGTGCCTCATGTCGCTAGCACCTCGCCTCTTTGTTGCTAGCACCTTGCCTCTGGTCGTAACTTCACATCTCACTTAGATAAGCTTCTCAAGCAAACATTCAAAAGATGGGTAAAAAAATAGAAAGAAATTTTTTTTCTTATCGATGCCATCTTCCCCAAATCTC